CAGCAGCAAACGGGTCATTTCGAGGCTGTCGCTGAGGGAGAGGGGGGAGGGGAGGGAGGGGGGTAGAGGAGGGGGAGAGGGGGAGGGGTGAGGGAGGGAAGGGGGTAGAGGAGGGGGACGGGGAGGGGGAGAGGGAGGGGAGGGGAAGGGGGTAGAGGAGGGGTAGAGGGAGGGGAGAAGGAGGGGGAGGGAGGGGGGGGAGGGGGAGAGGGAGGGGAGGGGAGGAAAAGAGGGCGGGGGGAGGGAGTGGAGGGAGATTGGGATTAGGGGGGGAGGAGGGAGTTGGAATGAGGGAGGAAAGAAGGAAGGGAATGAAGAAGAAGGAGGAGGGGAATGAAGAAAGAAGGAAGGGAGGGAGGGGAGGGAGGGAGGGAGGGAGGGAGGGAGGGGAGAGCAGAATTGCTTCCGAGCGACCTGGACTGCCTTAACGGAACTCTTGAAGGCCGCTCGTTGCCCTGCCCGTTCTTCTCCCATGGTTAAATGGCATATTTCTCGCTTTGTGTCTTTGTATATCATCCCCCAACCCCCTACCCCTAACCCCCCTTCCCCTCCTCCTCGTCCTCCTCCTAACTCTCCAGTTCTCTGTATTACCTATTTATTTCCTCCTCTCTCTTTCTCGTTCTCGTTCTCTCTTTCTCTCTCTATATATAAGTATATGTGTGTGTGTGTGTGTGTGTGTGTGTGTGTGTGTGTGTGTGTGTGTGTGTGTGTGTGTGTGTGTGTGTGTGTGTGTGTGTGTGTGTGTGTGTGCGTGCGTGCAAATTCGTGTATCGTCTTCTCCCAAGAGAGCAGTCATGCAACGATCCACTCCTTCGCAACACAAAAACTTCTTTCCAGCCTACCCGCACCCTCACCCCCCCCACTTCCCCCTACCCCCTCCCCCCCAAACACATCGACGCGCCACGCCCTCATTACCCCCCCTCCCCCTCCCCTTCTAACCCCACCCCCCAACCCCTACCTCCTCCGCCCTTACCCTATTAGCAACATGCCCCTCCCCTCCTCCCCCCATAAGGTCCCCGCCAGGATTCAGACACGCCCTGTCCTTCTGGGATAAAAATAAATCCCCCCGCCCCCCCTTCCTCACCTCCCCCCTCCCCCTCCCCCCCAAGGTCTAAGATCCTAGCAACTGTCTTGATCCGTCTTGGCAACTAACCTCCCGAAAAAAAGACCTAAAGAAAAAGAAAAAAAAATACGAGAAAAAAGTGGGGGGGAAAAGAGAACAGAGGATAGAGAGAGAGAAAGAGGGAAGGGGGAGGGAA